TACTGAAAACAAGGAAACAAAGCAAGAACAGTGAAGGCACCTGCATAAATACAGCTGAACGAGTACAAGAAAAAATATATCTTATCGGTTGAATGACATTGCCGAGTTTTCATCATAGTGGACTTTCCAAGCATTGCCGCTATCTGTGCCACTACAAGCTTGATTTGGGACAGGCAACTGTTCACCTAAATCTCCATCCAAACTCATCTGCTGTACCTCAGCCGACGAGAGTATTTTTATGCTCTGTACACAGCTAACAAATTCCCTACAAATAAAGAATAATAAAGAATGTCAGATAATTGATATCGAACAAATATCAAGAGAAACAAGAATTGGACTACACTTACTCCCATGGATCATCTCCAACGAGCAATATATCATTTTCGTGGTCAACATAGACGAGCTTCCACTCAGTTCTTTGTGGATCTTCAAGTAGGCCCTCGATACCAAACATTCGGGCGAGGTCATGCCTTAGCTCTTCATACCCTTTGTAACGTGTCACGTCTATGGTTCTCCCCACAGAGCCTCGTTTTTGAACCTTTACATTTTTTAATTGGGAGTTAGGCAAATAGACAGGTGACCAGAAACAAAGAACCAAAAACAGACATATCAACAAGCATGTTCAGAAAAACAATCCTAAGAGTGTGTTTGTATACAAAATATCTCAATTCATACTCAATCCATACTCAAAATCTAACTCAACTTTAACTCAACCCCACTATCCCCAATATTATCAATATAATTAAATAATACAAATCAACACATCTACTTTAGTTCACTATTTATCCACTCACATAATTTTAACTAACTATCATTTCACATCATTTCTCTCCTACCTTTACATTAAATCAGCTTTAATTATTTTATTTTAAATAATATTTTAATATAAAATCAAAATCCGACTAACAACTAACCATCTAACTTTTTCAAAATTAACTCTGATTAATCGAAAAAAACTCATTTTGAAAGGTTTTATTTGTAAACAAGCACGCCTAAGTTTGGGTTGTAACAATAAAAGCCATCTAATTTCAAATAGAAAAAGGCAAAATCATTAAAGAAAAAAAGCAACAAGTGAGGTGTGGTTTTCTCATATATACACAGACCTTCGTAAATGTACGCATACGTTGTGTCTGGCTCGGCCACATCCCCCCACCATTCAACACATTGGTCTCATTAACAGCAGCATCATTAGAACATCCTGCAGCTCTGAACGGCATATTCGGAACCCCAAACTGAGAATTTATCCCAGACGACAAATCGGGCTCCATCACATTCTGCATATCCTTCCCTGCATCATAACCCCTCGAAAGCAAAGCATCGGGCGCCAGCCTGTCGTCTCCCGGCCCAAAAGCAAGCCCGGTTTTCCCATGCGACTGCACATCACTCCCGTCAAATCCGCTCATCGGAAAACCCTGCTGCAGCAAGCCACCTGCGTCCAGACAGTACGAGGTTGACGATGACGTGGCATCCACATGTTCGCCACCTGTCAGCATCCTGTACTTGGCCGGCTGGTCAGGCATCTTCGAGTTTGGAAGCTCGTTCTTTATCCGCACATCTGCCGCATTTTCGAGCAAACCGCTGGGCCCTGTTTGGCTTCTCGCCAAAGTCGTCCGTAAATTGTTTTTATGTTTAGAAGGCGAAGTCGAGCACGACGGGCCATCTCCATTGGTGTGTGCCGAGTTTGTTCTCACCAAAACCGGTGCCTTTTGCTGGCACTGAAATTGATTTTGAACAGGAAAGGAGTTCCCGTCCAGCTGCTGTGTGGGTAATGAAAGATTTTGAGCTTGCTGAGTTATTTGGACTTGCTGTTTTTGAGGATGCATCTGAGATTCCAGCAAGGGATTCATTTGGGATGACAATTGTTGCTGTTGTTGTAGTTTCTGAAGAAGTTGCATTTGGAGCTGCTGTTCAGAAAGCAAATGCTGTGACTTGGGCTGTTGTGCTGTTGGCCTCTGGGCCAAGCTTTGCTGTAAAGCCTGCAAAGTTTGGACTTGCTGCATTTGCATCTGTTGCTCTTGGGGTCTGTGTGCAAGGCTCGATAACTGGTCAACGTGTGGCTGAAAGGACGAATCTTGAGATGTTTGCACTGTTTGCTGCATGTGTTGGGAGTAGGCACTCATCATTTGCTGCGAATTTCGATTTGTAACATGATCCGGATTTATCAAGCCGCTCGTGACAGGTGGCGAAACCATCGGCTGTGATTGGGACAGCTGTTGTGTGATTGTAGGAGACTGTAAAATTTGGTGCTGGGGCCAGGCCACATTTGGCTGCATGAGTTGCTGAGTGTTTTGGAAATTTGGCTTGTTTAGCTGAAGATTGTTCTGTGAGGGTAGAGTTGGGGATTGGAAGCTTAGTAGTTTCGAGGGGTCGTCTGGTTTGGCGAGGTTTGTTGGTGTGGCAGTTGATGGAAATAGTCCTGTTTGGTTTTGATTATTTTGAGTTTGGTGTTGTTGCATGCTCATCCACTGGACAAGACTGAGGCCCGGGAATATGGAGCTCGACGAGTCTTTCAAGCCAAAGTCGTCAGCTAGCCATGGCATGTTTCGCCGGAACATATTCTCTATGTCTGAATCGTCATCTAACAAGGGAAGAAAACAAATAAACCCCAAGATGATATTCGAATCAACTGTTGAGAAACTTGAGGGATGTAAATATAAGAGAATAGTTATTTATTTGTAATAGTTTTAAGGAAATGAGAATTAAGCTGTCGAAAAATGATACACAAAATGAGGGAGAGGGAACAAACTGTAAGAAGGATAAAGGGCTTCCACGGTAGTTTGCCGAGAACTCTGAGAGTAATTTACTTTACTATCCATTTAAGTAAAGAAAATGAAAATAGTATCACAAATATGTTTGTAGATTTCCAATGTGTTCTTGTATACAAGTGTTTAATGCATGGGTATGTTGTTGAGTTGTGAGATTATGCAAGTGTGGTAACTAATGCTAGAATGAATATTTTCTAACTAATGCTTAATTTCAAGGCGCCAGCTGGCAAGAGGTTTCTTTACCTGGGAGACCGGGATGTTTGGGGAACTTTGGTCTGAAAAACGGTGGTGGGCATATGTAAAAGGGAGTTATGACAGGTTCAATCTCCCAAATCGAGACTCGGCTAGGACGTTCCCCAGCTGTAGATTCATCCCATCCAACCTGATTGTTAAA